TTTTAACTATAATGTTAACGGAGTTTCAATATACTATATCTCATTTTAATATAAGACATATATGTGTTCAAAAATAATTGCAAATTTTATTATAGAGCTATAAAAATAATAAGAAACACATAATGTTTAAAATACTAATCAGGAATTGTAGTTACGAATAAGGTAGATAAAACAATAAAAGCAGTCTGATGTTCCCAAACAGTTGTAAAATCCGCTCTGCCCCAAAACTGATCAGCTTTGGCTTTTTCACGGGAAAAAAAAAATAGGGAGAAATTATGAGGAAAAAAAACCGCATCGGGCATCCGTAAGTCGCAAAAAAACGCCGTTTATAGCCTCAGATTTGCCTCTGCCGGGGGCGTGGGGGTGCATGGAAAACTCCTTGTCATTGTTTGATCTCGACCAGCGGCGCTGTGCGGTCCCGCCACTGCCTCCTCCGGGTATGGAGCGGGGCGGGACAGGGCGGGACTGCGAAACCGAGCCCAAACAAACCCGAAGATGGCTGTTCTCGGGGCAAAAAAAAAAAAAAAAAAAAAAAAAAAAAAAAAGGGACCAAAATAAAACAAACAAACAAATCCTCTTTTTTTTTTCTTTTTTAATTATACTTCTAAGAAACACCCGGAAGATTACTTTGGTTATCAGCAGACCAACCTAATGCTTAGTTAATTCTTAATTGTTTCAGGCACTTACTGTTCTTTTCAAAGGAGGATCTCAGCCTACATAAGGATTCTGCAGCAGCAAGAAAAGTCAGGAATATGCTAGGTATAAATATTTTCCCAGGAATTTTCTCCTCGGGGTGAGGCGGCGGTGAAGGGGCTACACGCGGGCGAGGCGAGGCAAAGAAAAAAGCTGCCCCTCGGGGTGGCCGCTGCCTTGGGTAGCGGTGGCGATGCGGTGTGAGCTGCCCCTCGGGGTGGCAGCTGCCCGCGTCCCAAAGAGCTGCGTCGCGGGACGGGCAAGGCGGCGATACCGGGGCCGAACCGAGCCGTGCCGGAGCCACCAGAAGAGCTGCCCCGAGGGCGAGACGGCGCTACGAGAGGCGCACAGCGCGGGTGGTGCGCTGCGAGCCGCCCTGGTCGCTGCCCAGGCCCCGGGAGCTGCACCACGGTACGGGCGGGGCGGCGGCAGAGAGGCCGCACCGAGGCGGGGGTGGGGGGCGAGATGTGAATGGAACGTACAGAGCAGAATAAAATAAATAGAATTAAAGAGCCGCAGCGGGGGATGGCCGCTGAGAGCTGCACGGCGGGACGGGACAGGCGCGGTCCCGCGGGGAGCGGCCGCTTATCGTGTGACGGCAGGCGACAGCCAGAGCCGCGGCAGCCGCTTCCAGCGGCGGGGAAGAGCGGGACGTGCTGTTCTCAGTCATAGCTTAGGACCCGGGACAGGTCCGCCACCCCGCACCCGAGAACCGGGACCCGTGTATGCCCCTTACTCGCTTGCTCCCTTCTTCCTGGCCCAGCGGAACCAAGAAATACCTTAAAATCTAGCCTATGCATACACACACGCACACGAACAGGCGCATGCACAAAAGAAAAATTGAGGGTGGCTTTTTTGTTTGTTGGGGGTTTTTTCGCCTTTAATTCATGACCTACATGATGAGCAGCAACAGAAGATTGGTTACTAATTATGGCAGCTGGGAGGGGAATTTTCATAAACCATTTGTCTCCCTAGGAGCATGGGCAGCACCTAGAATGAGGATGCACAGGTGGCATCTTGCAGAGTCCATCTACTGTGTCCACGTTCTGCATCTCCTGGCAATGACCCCTACTAGCTACTAGCCAGCTACTAGCCAGCTCCTGACCCCAGCAGAGGGCTCTCTGGCCTCATCCTGCTCCTCCTTCTCATCCCACCACACCCTTTTTCTCTCTGCCAAAAGCTGTAGGAGAGGAGTCGTGCCTCCAGCATCATCTTTGCTGTCCTGGCGCAGCCGCTCAAACTCAGCCTCGATGCAGCGCCGCTCAGCTTCACTCGTCTCCTGGAGGAGACAAGAAATCCGCATGCAACCCTCAGACCTAATTTTCCCCTTTTGAGTTAAAGGACGAAAGTGCTTCTGCTGTAGCCAGGGGGGGCTATAACACTGGGGCAGGGCTGGGCATGAAGCTAATTAGCGACTGATTACGTACTTCACCCTGTCATGGTTTGACACTGGCACAATGCCAGTGCCCCCATGAGAATACCCTCTCCCTGCTGTGAGATGTGACCAGGAATAAGCAAAGCAGGCTCCTACTTAGAAATAAAGAAAACTTTATTAACTAAACTACAAGGAAAGAAAAAAAAAACACACAAGGAAAATTAAAACCTTACAAAAGCATTTTCCTCCTCCCCCCACCAAATTTCCCAATACAATACATTCCCCCAAATCACCAACTCTCAGTCCGGCACCACCCTTTAGAATACTCAATCTTCAGTTTATCAAGAGTGAGGAGTCCTTCTTGTGCCATAGGATTCCCCCAGAAACACCATTGAGACCTTTTGTGTTTCCTGTCACAGGTGGCACCGCTCGGAAAAGCCTTTGTCGTCGTGACATCTTCCTTTCTTGCTCAGTGCTCTCACCACTGCGCATGGACCAGAGCTGCTTCTAGGGTTCCCCTTTAAGGATGCTTTGCCCAGTTCTAACAAAGAGCACAGTCTCTCACTTTTGGGACACCTGTCCCCCCCCAAATTTCACCCCCTGGGGCAGAGGGGTCTCAAAAACAGAGATCTTCTCTTCTACTGAAGTGAGAGAGAACCAACCACGCTCTTCACCTGTTGTCTCTGTTCGTGCACTCTTACACATAACATTACTGCACTCCCTTGGCTCTGAGCCATTGCCTCCCCCTAAATGCAGTCTCTGTGTCACAGGGGGAAAAAAAATGGTTCAGTCTATGGCCACACAAGAAAAGTCCAGCCAAAAGGCCACCCTGTCATCTCTTCCCCCACTCAAAAGTCTTCTCCACTTCCCTAGTGGCCCATCCCCTCTTATCTCTTATCTCTCTTCTCATTCAGCTCCAGGAGGATCAACATTTGCAAGACTTCTATCATGCAAGAAAAGGGTTAAGTATCTCAGTCTCTGCCTGTCCCAGAGCTTTGGAACTTCCACGCTGCCCTGCCGGGCACCTTCTCACTGCGCTCCCCCTTCTCCTCCTCGGCCGGCTAATATCAAATTCAGACGCTGGCTCTCCCTCTCTCTCTCCCATGGGGTGAGGGGGGGGGGGGGGGGTGGCTGCCCGATGTCTCTTGGTGCTTCTCCACCCTTCCATCCTCAAGGGCCTCCTCACCTCCCATCTCTGTCCAGCCCCAGGCCTACCACATGGCTGCCCCTCCCCCGCCCAGCAGCAGCAGCTGAAGAAGGCAGGGACATCCGACCTCTGTGCCTCCGGAGCCTCTCGGAGCACCAGCTCTGCTTTTTAACCCCTGTGTTCTCAGAGGCATGTCCAAATGTCCCAATGGCCACATCAGGTGCCAATATTAAAATCTGAGCACCCATTGGTTTGACTACAGCATTCTAGAATTCCCATTTTTCGGTCAAACCAGCACAGCCCCATGATTCTCCTTTTCCCTCCCTTTTTGCCATTCCTCTCTATATTCTGTCCAAAACCAATCCAGGTCCTGAGAAGCAGGGGGGAGTGTTAATTCCATGTTAACACATGTCCCTTTGTGACTCAGTCTGGGGTGAAAATGAGCAGCACCATGACATTGATTTAAAGTGTGGATAATAAGCAGCTGCACATGGAGGTGGTGCTTGCCAAACCTGCCCAGGATCTGCGCCAACCATTCCAACTGGATGTAGGGCTTTACAGGGTGCCAGGATGCCTCTTGGATATGATCCCACCTGTTTCTTCAAGAGGGGCTTGGGGAAAAATAAATACCCAAAGGCCCATTCAGACTGCCGAAGAACCTGTATCAGATAGTCCTGGTGTCTCTTCTCTTCACTCGCTCTCCAGTCCAGAAATTCTACCAACACCTTCCTTAAGGATTGCACATGAGACTGGATTTTCTCCTGAATACACACACACACAAAAAAAAACCAACCAAAAAACCAAAACCAACAAAAACAACAAAACAACCTACAAGTGAAGCAATCAGCTTGTTTGTATAATCCTGCCTTCAAAATCTTACATTATTCAGGGGAGGAAAGCAAATAATCCCCCTAAAAAAGCCCCCTCATTGCCTTCCCTGGAAAGCAGGGATCAACTCATTTTGTGTTTCTTCCACAGCTAGGAGCAGGCACTAGAGCTTTGCTTTCCCAAGAAGAAATTAAAATATTTTCACTTTGCACCTTTTTTCCACGGGGAGAGAGAGGGGGAAGGACTGATGGGTCACAGGAAGGTGATCTCACCTCACAGATCTCATCTAGTCCTCCAAAAGTCTTCATGACCACAGCCTGTGGTGTCTCACTCATTGCCTCCTGAGGGGTTTTTGTCCCTTCAGCACCAAGAGATGAAGCTCTGGCCAGTGTCAGCACAGGGGCTTTGTGTGGCCATGCTGCCCTCCTGGCAAGGAGAAAGGAGTGCTGGGGGTTGGCCATGGCACGGGTGAAGCTGCCTGCCCTTGAACCGCCCCTGGTTGTTCCTCTGCTCAGTTCACAAGCTGCCCCAGCTGGAAAAGCAAACGTCATCACCCACAAGTAGTCTTTAAACAAATTTTATATCCACAAGTTTGTCTTATTTCCAGGCATTGCTGTCACATTCCTCACCTCGAAGTTACTCCCAACTTTGCCTTGTTCACCTCCATCATGTGTAAGGGGCCAGAGTCAGGTTTGGGGAACTAGGGAGGCAAAATTTAACCGATTTTTCCCTTGTGGTGCCATGCAATAATGGGGTTTTTTGCAGTGCTTTAATTTTCCTCCCTTTCCTCCCCAGTGTCTGTGTTGAGAAAATAAATGGCCCTGATATGGGGGAAAAAGGGGCAATCAGATAGTGCAGGTGTCCAAACACGTCATGGCCCCATCTGCAGGCACGAGATTGGAGGGCTCCTCCCTTCTTGGCTGATAAAAGCTGGCAGAGGCTGAGACAGGACTGAGCTTTGGCTGAGCCTGTGCCAGAGAGAGGAAGAAAAAAAATCCCAAGAAAAAACGCAGTGGAGAAGCAGCCAGTAGAAGAAAACCATCTGGAGGAACCCGAATACAGCACCAGGATAGCAAGGAAAATACTAAGAAGGTTTGAGTCAGAGGGAAAATCCCAGTGCCTATAGGGGGGTTACATCACCCTGATGTCTGGGGAGGGGGGAGAAAGGGGATTTTGAGCCCCCTCCCCATCCCATGGACTCAAGAAGGGAAAGGATTTACCCTTGCTTTTGTCTCAAGATCTTTGTTTTGGATTTAAAGGTATTTTGCAATGGAGGGTCATGATGATTATTTACTTCTCTTCTACCTGTAACAATCCAGCCAGGGAATTTGAGTGAGAAACAGCATGGCTCCTGATTTTATTTGGGTGATTTTCTCACCTTTTTCTCACTTTTACTCATTACCCTGCTGCTTTAATCCCCTTATCTGCAGATTTGCAGATGAAAACACAGGGAAAAGAAGCAACCTGTTTGTTTTCAACTCTCACAGCATGGTTTATTCAATCATTTTGGGGCTTTATTACTCATGCCAGGGCCCTTTAGCATGGGCAATCCCTTGTTTGCGTGCAAAATCCCACACTGACTTCCAGAGGAAGAATTTGAAGCCATTTGGTGCCAGCTCTTATCTCCCCCATACATATTTTCTCCAAGATCAATAACAAACTTCCCTTCTCACAAGATTTCTCTGGATATGAGAGATGAATGTGGCTTATCTCAATTTTAGGGACTTTCCTCACTCAAATAACTTTGTCAGATTTGACTGATGAATGGTGGAGGCAGAAACGGATTTAAGATGGACAGATTCAGCCTTCAGCCCACTCAAGGATTTGGGGGTATAATATCTACAATAGAGATGGGTTCATCCCAATGTGCTACTCTTGTTCCTTTCATAGTCATTAGGGAATTAATTGATTTAACCCATCTCCAAGGGTCTTCCCATAAATGAACCAAGCTATGTTGCAACTGTTGAAGAAAAATAATGCTATTTTCTTGAAGTAGTTTGATTAAATGTAGTGGTTAAACACATTTTTTGACATAGAAAGGGGCAGAAGCTGAGATAGCAGTGAAGGATGATAATTGGATTTTATCCTTTCTTTCCTTGTTCTGTGCCTCCAGTCAGGAAGAGAGGACTCTGAGGGTGCAATGGCTTTCTTCCTCAAACCACGGCCATGCACATGGGACCTTGCCCTGGACTACCACACCGCCAAACAGTTTGAAGGTAATCAGAGGCAGCTCAAAAGGAGCAAAGTACCTGTTCCTTGTGTTTTCTGGGCTGAGATGTTCAATGGGGTTGGAGATTCTCCAGCTCCACCTTCTGTCTCCCTAGGGCCTCCGTCTCCAACCTCCATCTCTTTGTTCTTCCATCTCCAGCCTCAACTGGATATATATCCTCCATCTCCTACTTCCACCTCTTCACACTTACATCTGCAGCCTCACCTTTCCTCTCCCTTTCTCTTTGAAAAGTCACCAGTGAAGGCATTTTGGGGGTGTATTTTCTCTGGGCTTAAATTTGGCTTCTGATCCATTCTCTGTTTTGCTTTTCAGTGGACGTAACCCTGGATCCAGCCACAGTGGGCCCAGAGGTGATCCTCTCTGAGGACCTCAAGGAAGCCACCTGGGGCAGACCTCGATGCCAGTGGCCTGAGGGTCCAGGCCGGTTCGACACAGACCCGTGCATGCTGGGCAGCGAGGGCTTCACCTCGGGCCGCCACTACTGGGAGGTGGAGGCCAATGGGCGCTTCTGGGCCGTGGGGGTGGCCCGTGAGTCAGTTCAGAGGAAAGGCCGGGTCCTCTTCAAGCCCAACACTGAAATCTGGGGCTTGCAGAAGTATGATGAGCTCTGCGTTGCCCTCACAGCTCCCTCCCACACCTCTGTTCCACTCCTCAATGGGGAGATTGGGGTCTACCTGGATTATGAGGTGGGACAGGTCTCTTTCTACGCTGTCAGCAGCCGCCAACGCATCTTCACTTTTCCTGCCTCCTTCAGTGGGGAGAGGGTCTTCCCCTACTTTTGCGTGCTCCTCTCAACCATTAAACTGTCCCCCAAGGGCTGACGCCCTTAAAGGATCCTCCCAAAAGCTGGTTGCATCACAGTGGTTGGAAATGCTGGTTGATGCTCCTCAACTCTAATTTTCCAAGTCTTGAAGTCATTTCTAACTCAGTTCATGGTCATTCCTTCATCTTAGATGTCTCTGTTTTGGGTTGTGCCATGGAGATATTGGGTCTGAGCTCAGTACAGCTCATCTCAAGTTGCTAAATTCATGCAAAGCTTGTTAAAAAGAGCTGGACTTCCCTGAGCTTGTTTTGAGCTAAAATCTTCATTTTTTTCTCCCAAATACAGCTTCCTCTGGAAGGTTCCTTTTGCTGACCTCAGTGCCTATGATTGGCTGGGCTTCCAGCACAAATTAAAAATCTTGATTTTTGCAGACTTTGTATTAATACCAGCAGCTATTCCTATTAAAACTTGTAATTTAATATTGTTTTATATCATTTAAATCCCCTTGTTATCACAAGGATGTGCTCACATCCACTGCCCCCACTCTTTTCCTCTGCTGTTCCCTATGCTTGAGATGTATTTCCAAGTACTTAGCATGTAAATATGCTCCAGATAGAATAAATTTCTTTTTCTCTAAGAAATCTGTATTCAAGCCATCACCAAGTTGCCCCAAACCCAAAAAGAGCCCCCAGAGCTGCCCTGCCACCCCACCCCACTCCCTCAGAACTATCTCATGTGGATCCCCAAAGTCTGCCTTGTCCCAGAAACACTTTGTTGGCCTCTGGAAACATCAATAACCCCTTGCCCAGGGATTCCAAAATCTTCTTGAGATTTTCTTTCATGTCCCTATGGTGCACCAGATATCTGGGAGTGAGAAGGCCTCCCTGCAGCGCCCAAGGAGCTGACACAGAGGTTTGGAGGCCGTCTCATCCTGTTGCCCTTGCCTGAGCTCTGCAGCTCATGTTTATTACAAATCCAGCTCCTCTCAGTGCTGCAGTGGGAGGAGCTGAGCCCATTGTCATCCAGGTAAGCACAGAGCCCACTACCACGGATCCGAAACCTGGAAGTACAGAGGACATAACCCATTTCAGATGGAGCAGCAGGAAAAAGGAGAAAAGTAACATATAGGCTTCCCTCAGCTTCAGTTCTCAGGCATCCTCATGGGCACCAGCATGCCTAAATACTCACACTGATCTATTTCTAATATGAAACCCAAAGCTTTGTAAGAGAGAAACAAACTTAAAATAAAAAATCCAAACTTAGGATTTTCTCACCAAATGCATCACTCCCATCTTTTAGGTCAAAGGGGAAAACAAAGACCAGATGCAATGTTGCCCTTCCCAAATATTGTCCCATTGCTACCTCAAGTACAAGAAGAAATGCACATTTTGTGGCAGAGGAAACACCAACCAACATCTTAATAATGAAAAACATGGACTCACAGGTGAGATAGAGGTGAGCGATTCACCCACATCCATGGCTGCTCCTCATCCTCCCGCAAAAGGCCAATCCAATGCTCTGAGATGCCTTTGTACCTCATCACAAAGCTCTGAAAGAGAGGGAAAGATTTTTACCTTCTTCCAACCAAAGCCCTCCATTTTACCACTTGCTTATGCTGCTTTAGGGCTTCTTTGGGGCTTGAACATTTCAATCTGCTACCAGAAAGTGTCATCTAGAAACAGGAGTTTATCCCTACAGTCCTTGCAGCAGTTGGCTTTGGTGAGGAATTTTAAGAGACCCATGATGACATACTCTCAAATTTTCCCCAAATTCTCACCCCAGATCTTCAAAAAAGACCCTGGAAGAGCAGTCACAGAAACCAAAAGGTTTCAAATATAGTGCTTTTGGTTTTTCCCCCCCATGCCAAGCAAGTTCTCATGTCCCCTTACCAAGTCCTCCGTGCTGTCCAGCATAGCCAAGGAAGCACCAAGTGCTGAGCAGTTGTCCTGGCTGTATGTCCAGTTCCCTTCAACCTCAGAAAAATAGTAGCATTTTCCTCGGTACCTGATCCAGTCAAAGGGGCACTGAAAGCAGGGCTGGGCATGAGGCTGAAAAGCTTGCACTGTCATTAAGAATAGAACAACGTTAACGAGCAGCACCTTCCCCTTGCCTCTCTGGCGTGGAGAGATCATCTTCCACCCCATGGCTTCCAAAAGTCTTCACCTGTCTCAACTGTAGGAGAAGAGAAAAATTAAGATACCAGGAGAGATCCTGTAAGAAAATAAGCTCATCATGACCCAGCTTGTGATGTTGGATTAGAAATACAGGTGCTGCACCTTCAGAGAAGGAAATAGGGTGGTAGACTTCAAAAAAACACATTTTAAAGAGGAGTTTCAGAGTAGTTCTATCCCTAAACATGCCTTTGGGTGTTGCTCTCTGTCATTAATGCAAAAGTAGTGAAAAAGACAGGACAAATGTCCTCTGATTCCTGCACACTTCTTGACTTGGTGGGACTCATGCCAACATCTCCAGGCCCCTTCTTCTCTGAAAAGAATACTTCTGTGTGACTGTACTCCTGAAATGGCTCTTCCTGTTGATTTTCTAAGGGTTTCTTGATGACATCAGTTCCCACACCATGGGGATGGGTTTGTTCTTCTGTAGAAAGACTGCTCTGAAATGTCCTTCTCTCTCTCAGAGAGAACAGCAGCTTGGGTGGGCTTTGTCTTCCACAGAAAACACAAGGAACATGGAAATAAATCTGTCATAAATTCAACAAGCCAAAATATCTCAGAGACATTACCTGTGAGACTAAAACTTTGACATTCACCTGCAAAAGCGATGGCTGTGATGAGCAGAGCTGTGAAAAGCACTGCCAGCATCACCTGGCAGGCGACACGTGCCTCTGGCTTCATCTCCATGCTGTGACCTGCAGGAGAACAGACCTTCAGTGCCTCTGCAGGGGCTCCCAGGGCAGCAGCATGCCACAGGCCATGCCAGGAGCATCAAGCGTTGGTCTCGTGCCAATGGCACTGGACTTGAGGTCATTTTGTGTGAGAAACACCAAATATTCTTCTTCACATGGAACAAAAGTAGCTATTTTTTTATTTATGGGAGCTCTTTGGGGAACAGTTTCCTCCCCAGCTCCAGATGCAAACTCATGAAATGTACCACAATTAAAAATCTGCTTTAATTTCTGAGATTTACCTCATTATTAAAATTCAGTGGAGTTTTTTCCTCCACCTAAACCAGGACACTTGGGGTCATGGTGCCTCCATTTCTGTGTCTTGTGATCCAGAATATGCACTTTCCCTTCACCATGAGCAAAGAAAATTCTCTTTCCTAGGGGTTTTTTACAAAAATCTTAGTGTTTTCATCCAGTAGGACTTGCCCATTTTTTGTTTAAGATTTTCCCTTTTTGTTTCCATCATATGAACCACATGTCATGGGAAAAACCCTCCTCTCACCTCTTCTTCCTGGAAAAAATATTAGAAAGTAAGTAAGAAGCAAAATATTAAAAAAAAAAAAAAGTTATATTAAAAAATTAAAATCAACAAATGAAAAATCAACCAAAACATGGAATATTTGAGGGTAAAAAAATATGCCTAAAAGAATCAGTTACTCAAGAACCTCAGGAAAGTTTAATGCTAAATTTGAATAACCCATCATGTCTGAAATTGGTCTGTTTAGAGCAAAAATTCTATCTGCTGAGTGACAAAAATTTTCCCTCAAGGGAAGTGCCAGAAAAAGCTCTTTCCCCCCTACAACCTTACTTCAGCTGGGTTTGATTCTCAAATTACAGAAGTATCAAAATAAAACCCAAACTCAGTGATTCTGAGTTCACTGAGTTCACAGTTCACTGCCCTACAGTTACCTGCCCGCTTGTTCCTTTCCATGCCCAAAAATCCGGAATAAACTCTTATTTCCTCCATTTTTGGAGTTCCACCTCTACAGGTGCTCTTGCCTCACCTGCCAAGCAAAGTTTCATCTATTAGAGGTGTCACAAAGGCTCTCCATGCTCAATTAAAAATTTCTCACAATTTAAAATTTCCTCCCTGCATCATATTCAGACTTTTCTCTCCACCTGAAGTTTTCCCACACAATTAAAATCTTATCCCTGCAATTAAAATTTCCTCTCCCCCCAATTAGTTTTATCTGGTTAGTTGTACCTTTCTCCCCTCAGTTAAAATTTTCTCCCTCTATGTCAAGTTTTCTCCCCGCAACTACACTTTCATCCCAAATTAGTTTTCCCCACCTATTAAAATCTTAAAAATTAAAATTAAAGTTTCCTCATGTAACATTTTCTCCCTGCAGTTAAAATTTTCTGCTGTAATTAAATTTTCCTCCCTGTAAACTTTTCTCCCCATTAAAGATTTTCCTCCAATTAATACCTTCTCCCCTCAATTAATATCTTGTTTTCAGTTACTATTTTCTCTCCAAAATTAAGGTTTTCTCTACTTAATTAAAGTTTTCTCCCCCCATTTTAAATAATCTTGTCCTATTTAATATCCCCTCAATTAAAATTTTCTCCTGCAATTAAAAACTTCTCCCTGCAATTGAAATTCTCTCTTCCAGTCAAAATTTAAGACCACCTCCCCTCAGCCCCCAGGCCATCCCAAACCCTGTTACCTGTGTCTGCTCTGTGGGAACAAGCCCAGTGCTGCAGCACAACCTGCTCCTGTGAAGAGAAACATAGTATTTTAAAAAGAATGTTGTTTTGGGTTATTTTATTGTACTCTTAGGGATTTTCCTGTGCCTCCTCGAGGGCAATGAAGAAGGGGCTGCCTGCCACCTGCCCGCCCGCAGAACCAGGGGTTCCCTTCCAGCTCCACCCAGCAACACTTCACCCTCTTTCCCAGCATTTCTGGAATTTTCTCTCAGCTAGGGAGATGGACAGTCCAAAAATGCCTTATTTTAGTGTGCTGTTGGAGGAAACACTGCTGGAGATCACTCTGTTCCAGGATGTCAGGGCACCCCAGAACAGCGTTCAGGGATTCTACAAGGGAGAAGTACAGTTCCCTTCTGCACATTTTATAAGGTTTTTTACTGTAAAATTATAAAAAAAAAAAAAGTGTTTTTGCAATTAAGCTACCCAGCTGCAGGTTTTACCCTAAAACCTAATTTATTTTGTATTTTTAGGGGATTTTTGTCATCACTGGTCACACACCACTGGAGCAGCTGCCTTTGCAGAGGGCAGGAAGGCTGGCTGATAGCAGCACACCACAAAAACTTTCTGTGATAAAGGGGGGAAAAGAAACTAAAAATAATCAGGAAACAATAAAAAAAAAAAGTACATAAACACAAATTTAAAATAAAACTATTTATTTTACTTTAACTAAAAATTTTAAAATTATTTCAAAATAAAATAACACAGTGCTTTTCTTACTGGGGCCTTTGGTTTATCTTCTTATTTACCCTATTTCTGTGTGGTGGTAGCTACTGGGGAAAATTTCTCCATTTTGCTTGCTTTTTATTTTGGGGGGGTGTTTGAGGAAAAAAACATCATTTTTGCCTCTGTAAAAAGGTGTTGCTTTGGGATACTGTGGCACTGACTAAAACCTGGGCTTAACATCAAAAAACCCTAAGAAAAGGGAGGGGGAAAGGTTACTGTAGGCTGGAAATTGTTGGTGGTTCCATGCAGTAGTCAAAGAATCCCAAACCTGGAGGAAACATAGGTCTAGATGGTGTAAAAGGATACATCAGGTGTGGGAGGATGGGCTTGCAGGTGAAAAAGTCAAAATAAAATAAAATAACAAAATAAAATTCATTAGCAGCAGGCAGCCAGATGGAAATCCAGATTCTTACCTCATCCTGGGCAGGAGCTGGGCAACCCTTGACCACATAGGATCTCTTTGCCCCAGGATAAAACAGAGACCAAATATTATGTCAAAACCAGCAGAATAAGTCACATGGAGCAAAAGGCATTTCAAGTCACTCCCAGCCCATATTCTGAGGAAGAAACACCAAATGTCACCTGTCTCTTCCCCACCTGCCTGTGGTCACACTGATCTACCTCCTCTCAGTCAAAAACCTTATTTAAAGGCTTTTTGAAATGATTATTTATTAATTCTGCTTTTCTAGATGTTTAACACAGCCACCAAACCCACAGATGTTTCTACATCTCCAGGTGTGCCGCCTCTTCCTGGCTGAAGGACACCCATTCCCTCTTCACCAAGTTCCATTTACAAGGGAAGGGTGTAGAATACACACACACACACATATATATATATGTACATATGTACAAACTGAAAAGCAGATAAAAGCCCCGGCCAATACCATTTCCTGGAGCAGATGCAGCTGTGAGTGCGTAGTTCACAAGGCAAGGGGTTGTCCGAGGACAGTGTCACTTTTGGGCTGCTTCTGGGACCTTCTGAGCAACCATGGCTGGGGAAATTGTTTATGCTGATTTACGGCATCCTGGGGACAGTTCTTCTGCTGAGAAGCATCATAGTAAGTGCTATTTTGGGGAGAAAATGCTTGTTTCAAATTTTGGGAAGTTTTTTGGATTTGTTTACTTTTAGGTTTGCTTGCTTGCTTCATCTCCATGTTAAGGTTTCCAAGATCATGGAGAACATTGTTGTGGGTTAAATGTCTTCTAAGGTAGCATCCTGGCTTGAGAAGAGGAGAAATAAGAGAAAGGAAGGGATGGGAGAGGGTGACAGATATCTGGAAGCCATTTTGCTTCTGAGACTCTTCACCTGGGGGGCAAAATGGGTGCCAAGAAACCTAACATGAGCCAACACACCTGGATGGGAAGGAAAGCTGCTGAGATCCTGTCTGGAATCCTGGTGGAGATGAGAGCTGGAGTGACCATTGTCTCACCAACTCCCAGCTCTAGCAGGAGCTTTAAATTAAGCCAATTTCAGAATGGTTTCCCATCCCCCAAGATCCATCATTGGGTGCCCAAGGATGCTCCTGAGGCTCCTGCAGCCCCTCCTCCACCTGAGAAGCCACCCTCACCCTAGACCACATCAGTGGTGATTCACTTCTTTGGAGGAAGCAAAGAAGCTGTAAACTTCTGCTCAAGCTCACCAGCTTGAGAGAGGGGCTTTCTTTTTCCTCTAAACCCCCAGTATTTTCATCTTTCATTTTTTAAAGCAAATGTGGCCTCTTTCAGCACCTGCCTTCTGTCCATGGTGGCACAGGCTCCTTCTCATAGCCAGCGGGCTGGGGCAACTCATCCTGCTGGTCCTGGTGGTGGTGCTGAGTGTGCAGGGTGAGTAACCAGCTCTTTTCTACACCTCACACTCCAGTGAGCAGCCAGGGAGGGGAAATTGGGGTTTATTTCAACATTTCAGTCTTTGGAGGGGACAAGGTTGTCCTGTAGAGATGTGACATCACCCATCAAGAATAAGCCCATTCTGAGTAAACATGGATTATACCCATAGCTATCAAACAAGGGTGAAGAATACAAGCCATGTTTTTCAGGCTGGCTTAAGCAACTGTATAAGAAAATGAAACCCAGTTTTGTGGGGTTTGTGGTTTTTATCCCCAAATGGCTGCGGCTTCTCACCCCGGATTACTGCTCCAAGTTTTTCAGGGGTCCCCACAGCCAGTGGTGAGAAGCGCTCCACAGCTAGGCAGTGGGATCCAGGGAAGGAACCAAGTGGAGCAGTGCATGTTTTCATCCCTGGTGCGGTATTTCTGCAAGCCCCAAGGGGACAACCCCACAGGTAATCCCCCTCTCAATCTGACTCTGCTGGGAGATGTTCAGGTGAGACCTTTGTGGGGATCTTCTACTGCAAGGAGAGAGACCCTTGGGGTTGTGAGACCACAAGAGTTATTTGGCAAAGAGGAGTCTTGCAAGGAAGAATCCTCTTTTCCATGCAATTTTGCTGATCCGTCCTCCATGGAGGAGCAGGATCAGCCCTAGGGAGAAGATTCCTTGCCACTCTTCCTCCACCTCCACTGGCCAATAATGTCCTTGTGGTCACCCAGCCTCAGTAACCTTCCTTCTCTCCAGTGGCTGGTAAAACTACATCGATGTGAAAAACCCAGCAATGGGGAAAGAGCTGGAGTGTGGGATGGGGTACCATCAGTACCTTCAGCTGGTGGCTTGGGAATATCCTGACAGCCCTTCGGAGTGTCTCATGGCTTTTTCTCCACTTCAGCCTATGCTGGCTGCAAGCTGTGTCCCCAGGACTGGCAGCTTCATGGGGAAAGATGCTACTGGCTTTCTGAGGAACTGGGAAACTGGACTCAAGGCATGAAAAGCTGTGAGAACCAGGACTCCCAGTTGGTGGTGCTCCAGCATAAGAAAGAAAAGGTAAATAGGGAGAAGAAGGCTTTAAAAAGGACACAAAAGTCCTGACTTTTAGGTGGACAGGGAAGAAAAAAGGGCCTATCAACAGGAGGGCTTGGAGAAGCATTCAAATTAGGGGGGAAATTCATGTCTCATGAATTTGGGAGTCACATTTACTCTGTGAATTTGATTGCCATGAAACCCTCCAGAGAGAGATTTTGGGAGCAACTGGTCACTTCTATTTTCCAGGAGCACATCAAGACTGTTACAGGCAAGAGCCCACCACCAGTGTGGATTGGATTAAGGTCACATCAGAAGGTGTGGAGATGGGTAGACAACACACCTTTCAACCCCAAAATGTGAGTGTATCCACAGTCTGTTGGTGTAAACAGCAGCTTTGCTCCATTCCAGACCCAATTCATGCTCTGACCCATCTCTCCACCATGTTGGAGTTTATGCAAGAGTCTCATATTCCCCCCAGCAAAGTTCTGTAGAACAAAGGTTGGGGAACTGTACCGGAGCACAGTAACCCCACAGCTCCCACCAGACCCATGCAACAATGTGTGGAGCTTTTCATGCTCCACACGTGCTCCTCGTAGATCTTACTGCAGGTACAGCAACTCTCCTCAAATCCGGTCATCCTCCACCAAGAAATGATGCATGCACAGTGAGACAGTGCAGGAAAAGGGCAGAACAACCCCACCCCACATCTCCTTTTCTGCAAGATTTGGAGAGTTTCCTCCTCTTCAGCACTACAATTTTTGTTTTACAGGCTTGGCACCTCTCTGCATGAGATGGATGAAGGGTGTGGAACACTGAGAGCCAAGGACTTTGAAGTTAAAAGATGTGACGCTGAACACAAGTGGGTTTGCAAAAAAAAGCCTTTCCTTCTCTGCTCTGTGACAGCAGAAGATGGAGAGAAAAACGATGCCTCCATCTGATAAACATGCACCCCAAAATGCCCACCCCACAAGACACTTGCTGGCAATATTTGGGGTGAAATAGCCCCATCCTCACAGTTACAGCTTTGCAGGGTTTGGAAATCCTCTTACCATGAGGATAAGACCAGTTTTGGGGGCACAGATGAACCCCTGAGCTGGAGGATCAGAAAGGCCTGTGCCTCAGGCACAGTGTTGATAAAGCTGTGGCATCAATAAAAGCTTATCAAACTGGTTTGCTTCAATTTATTGAAATAACACAGGCAAGAGCACGAGTGGCACATCATGCAAAGTTCATATATAAACATTGCAAATTTCAACTCAAAAAAGCTTTTGTGAGTGACAGATATTACCTGTATGCATCTCTCCAAGCACAGCTGAGAGTGTCAGCACACTGATGCAAGTAACTGGGTGAATGCAGGCAGCTGGGTTTTGCTCAAGTTTTGAGGATCTGGAGGGGTTTGTTTCTCTTCTGAGTTGTTTTGTTGTTTGTTTTGTTGTTTTTGTTGTTGTTTTAGGGTTATTTTTTGCTGCTGTTTTGGAGAGGTTTTCTGTTTTGTTTTTTGTTTATTTGTTTGTTTTTGAGGTTATTTTGATTGTGGGTTGGGGGTTTATTTGGTTGGTTTTGTTGTTTTTACCAAATTCTCTCCTTTTTTTGATCTCCTTCAAATGGTAGAGAAGTGTGCAAGAGGCAGGGAAACCTCTTCAGCTCCGGATTTGGAGGGAAGGGAAGTTCTGGGAAGGAAAGTTCTGGGAAGGGGAGGGAGGGGAGATTTGGTTGATATTCAAGAATCACCTCCTACAGGATCAACAAGCTCCATCACAACAAGTAGGAAATGAAAGGCAGCTGGAGACTGGAATGACAATGTTGTTCCGAACTGAACTCAAAAGGAAACACACACCGCAGTGAAAGCTGGGACAGATTGTGCAGGAGGAATACAGAGCTGTTGTGATAGCACCAGGAAAGCCAGGGCTAGCCTGGAGATGAATCTAGCAACATTTCTGCACATGAAGGGTAACAAAAGAGAGTTCTATGTGTAGTTGTAGCAAATAGCAAAAGGAATAAAAGGACAGCTAGGGAAAATGTAAACTCTTCCTGGATGGGGTAGAGGTGCTGATAACAAAGAACATGGAAAAGTCTGAGATATTTAATACCTTCTTCGCCTCCATGTTTTCTAGTAAAACTGTCCTTGAGGAATCCCAAGCCCTAGAAAACAGAGGAAAGTTTGGAACATGCCTGGCCCTCCACAAAAGAAAAAATAGATTAAAGAGAGCTTAAACGAACTGTACATATATAAGTTCATGAAGCATAAGAAGTTGGACCCACAAGTGATGGGGAAGCTGCATGATGCCACTGCAAGTCTTTATTACTCTTTATTACCTCGATATGTCATGGCAACTGGGAAAGATTCCTGAAGAGTGGAGGAAAGAAAATGTTACCTCTATTTTCAAAAGTGGCAACATGAAACATCAAGGGTACTACAGGCAGAGCAGCTTCAACACAATCTCTGGGCAGATAAAGGAACAACTAATCCTAGAAGCCATTTTTCCAAACAGGTGAAGCACAACATGGTAGTCAACATGGATTTATGAAAAGGAGGCCATGCTTGACTAACCAGATAACTTTCCACAATGTGGATGATGTAACTGTTTTGGTGGATAATGGGAGAACAGTGGAAGTTGTTTACATCAATTTCAGTAAGACTTGTGACACTGGCTCCCCTAACAGACTCAGAACAGCTGGCAAAATACAGGTTAAAGAAGCACACAATGAGGTGGATTAAAACAGCCTACCTGCCAGGCCCAGAGTGTTGCGATCCCTGGTTTAGAGACAAGACATTAGGGCGTATCCAAGTTTTGGGACCAGCACTGTTAAACATCTTCACCGATAACCGTGAGTACATCTTTCAGCAAGTACACAGTACACAACTAGAAGGACTAGCTGATCTATAAGGTGATTGTAGATCAGAGATAAGGTAAGATTCAGAGGGTCTTGGTCCAACAGAAAAAGGATGTCGGAGAGAAATCTCTTAAAGAGCAACAAGGATGAATGCAGATGTCTGTGTCTGGGGAGGAAAAACACATAGCAGTTACATGCTGTGGCCTGGCTGACTGAAGAACAGCCCTGCAGAAAAGGATTTGAGGACTTTGGTGAACAAGCTGACCATGATATAGTGATGCAAGCTGATGGCAAAGGCAGCCAACAGCCTCCCAGGCCACATTAGGAAGGGAACTAAAAGCAATGTGAAGGGAGGTGGTCTTTTGTCTCTACTCATCTCTAAAGCCACACATAGAGCACTGTGTCCAGCTATGAGCTCCCCAATACAAAAACAAGATGGACTTACTGGACAGTGAAGCACTACAAAGATGACTAGGAGACTGGAACATCTTCCAAATGAGGAAAGCCTGAGAGAGTTGAGACTGCTCAGCCTGGAGAAGAGAGGCTTGGGGGTGCCTTACCCACATGTATAAATACCTGAGGGGTTGGAATGAAGAGTGCAATGCCAGGCACTTTTCAGTGCTTCTCAGAGACAAGAGGCAATGAGCACAAATTGAAAACCATGGAATTCCATCTGAACACAAGAAAACACTGTTCTACTGTGAGGCTGGTCAAACACATTGCACAGAAAGGTTAAGACATTCAATGAGCAACTGGGCATGATTTTGAGTAACAAGTTCTAGCTGTGAGCAAGAGAGTTGGTCTCATGAAATGTTTTCCAATAGAAACAATTCTGTTATTCTGAGATTGTGCAGTTGTCTATGATTATCTAATGTGAGGATATAGGGAAGATTAAGCCAGGCTTTTTTTCAGGCAAGAATAAATGGTGTAACTTTTAATTAGATGGAGGGAAAACTCTTTTTTTACCATGGTGGTGGTCAGCCCAGAGTAGCTATGAATCCTCTGTCCTTGGAAATATTCAGAACTCAACCACGCACGGCCTGAAATAACAGCCATCTGCTGATGGGTAGTTTTAAAGAGCTTTGCTTTGTGAGACTTTTTCATGAAATGGCATACTTAGGACTGACTTGGAAATAAAATACTTCAGCTTATTCCCATCACTGTAGCAAAATTTCATTTAACAAAAACAAAAAAAACCCAACCATCCCATTATTATGCTGCAAAAACAATGACAGGGGAGTTAACAAGGGACTTTCAATCACAATATTAAAATCATCCAGCTGATCTCCTTTGACCATCCTGTTTCTGACTTTTTATATCTCACCAATTAGCTCTATTTCTCAGGCTTTGTAACCTTGCTAGTTGCATACATCACCTTAACAAAATTAGACTTGCCCTTAAGTTAGAAGTGACAACACCAGACACAGCAGTTAGTTTACTCTAGTTAGTTTACTCTAGTTAGTTTACTCTAACTACACCTGCTTTAAGGGGAATTTGGACTAAGTGGCCTCCAGAGGTCCATCTCAAGCTGAAGCATTTCATGATTCTCCATGGCTAGATTTAAAGAAAGTAACTCATAACAGCTCAACATATTTGTGGTAGCACTTAAAATACACATGACTCTTAAATATAGGGTTGGTAAAACATGCATACTGAGGAATACAAGACCAGGACCTAGGCAAAGCCAAGTTACTCTAGCTAGCTATCATTTTAGACTGGAAATGCTGATCACCTGAGATATGTTCCTCTATATATATAAATAATCAGAAGAGCACTGTCCTAGTAATTTTTAGTGCTTTGAAACATTCAGATGGAACACCCCACTGACTAAACTCAAAGGCTTACAGATGAAACCCCAGAAAACCTTTTCCACTAACTTGAATGACTAAAAAAAGAATTTGATGGATCTAAGGGGGACTGACAAACATTGCCATATCACCAGGTGCCTCAGCCTACTTGGCCTGTCAGTAAGTGCAAACAGGCCCAGAGATTTCAGAAGGAAGCAGAAGGCCTAGCTCAAAAATATGAAAAAAACCTGCTCATTAAATCCTTACCAAATATTGAAATGTACAGATTGGTTTATGTCCAAAATAAAAGGAGAAGGTTAAAAAGAAAAAATATTTTAATGTGTCTTTTGAATTTGAAATTCAGGAATACCTTTTCCTTTCCTAAATATTCCTAACTCATTAACCTGATTTTCACCAGAAATTTGTCTATGATATCCAGATACAAATGCAATAGTAAAAGTAGACTCAAACAGACTCAATAATAGGTTGTAAAAATTGGAACCAGACCTTCGTCCTTAGCATAAATGCTTACCTAATTTTTCCTTCTGTACTGAAGTGGAAGCTCTCCAATAGTTGTCTTCATGCAGAACTCTATTTTTGGTGCTATTCCCTTGATAATAACTGTTAATCACTACATATGCATCACTCTTATAATCAGAACATTTCAAAACCTCCATTGAAACTGCATAATCAGAAATTACTAAAGGAGGCATTTTAGCTAAAGAAGCCTTACAGCAAATTCACCAGCAAATAACAGTGGCAAAGGAGTTTTCCTATGAAAAGCAGCACTTTGATTTTAGTCTGCTCTTTTAATTGGTATAAACTGTACCAGAAGGGGAACATGATGCACAAGGCCAGCATGTTCCAAACACATGCTTGAGGCACTGACCCAGGCACTTGGTAGTGACTTTGACACTTCCTCATAAAGCCAGTATTGTGAAGAAAGGGGAGGAGAAACCCTTGATCTAGAAAAAACACATACAGTTTTTAACTGTAAGTAGCAGCTCCTTTTGTACTGTGGGGGAGGTGGACTAGCTTAACCCAAAGGACACTTTCTAAAGTGATGTGAAAAAGAAATTCAGATTTGCTTTTCAAGGCAGGTAATGCCATGAAAAATACTGTAAAGACACTAATGAACAACAGCTGTTCACTTATCTTAGACTTTGAATTGTGCATTTCTAGAAGCTAGTCTCTTTCTTCTACAAGAATGACAGAGAAATCATGGTACGGTACCTTCAAACTTCATTTGCCCCTACCCTTATGCAAAGAGGATAATATATAAGCAGTAGTGATAAAGAAGGAAAGAAATAAGGTAC